TATTTTTAAAAATTGAAGTTGAGTATGCGTTCAGTTTGGATGTGGCCAACACCGTTAGAAATGAGTAGTTTTATGTAGGACATTTTTTCAGATGATTTACAGCTGGACTAGTTTTGTAAGTTCGGCTTTAGGCTAAAAGCATGTTTCTCGCCTCATAGAGTAGTTATACCTTCTGAAAAGGATTTTTTGTCAATTTTTTTGTTTGCCTCAGTTTTTACTCATATAAAGAGCAAAAGTGCTACTCAATTACTGGAGTTTTCTCAAAAATTAAGCGAAGTATTTCAATCTGTGCAGTGACCGCGTTCATATCGAAGCTAGTAGAAAATTTGGTCCCCGTTCGATCGCAGATCCTGTAGGGTGAGAAAAAAGTTAGCTGGAAATGACTGGAAAATTCCAAACATTCTCTGATTTGCAATAAATTGAATTCATCGATGAAATTATTGTATAGACACTAATGTTTAAGCTATGACGTGGGCTTATTGAATAGTCCGGCTGTAAAAATTTAGAAATGTAAACGTTTTCGTTGTTCATATGTCAAGAATTCACATGGCTTTTGAGATGATTGGTAAAATGAAACGACCTACAGTACTCTCTTCCAACAGTTTCTAGTCTTCTACAGTAGCCCAGAAATTGTTTTTGTGGATAGAGAATTTTTTAGAAACGCCTGGGATTGCTTTGCTGAAGTTGTAGAACGTTGTCACTACGCGGGTAGAAAAAGTATAAGCAAAAACTTAGCAAGCATTTTCAAGGAAAGAGGTTTTCACTTTTGTTCTTCGTTCTCGTATTACCTTGAAAGATTGTTTTTTTAATAAGTATGTTGCGAGATTTAAGTGGAATGAGTCTAGAAAGGTGGGAATTAAGTCGTCAGATGAATGGGCTCTGATCCTTCGAAGAACCCAGAAATGAGAGGCTTGCAAAGTCCCTGCAACTTGATTCGACTTTTCTTTCAAGACCTTCGGGATCAGATTATGGCTCCTGACACCTCCTACCTCGTGACACCTCCTACCAAGTAGGCACTCGCCGGTCCCTAACCTGTTGCCACCGTGCATAGGTCCTATGCTTGATCATTCGATGGTCATACCGATCACCTTCAGTACTTTATTTCTAAAGTGGTTTGCTGTTAACTGATATCGAGTTTCCTTCTGAGAATAATCCGTAATACATGCATAGGAGGGCATTAGTGCTTTTGCAAATGCTCTTTTTTGACTTTTTTTATTGCAATTTTCACTTTCGGATTGTATATGTCAGTCCATCGAAAAAGAAAGGAGAGGGGATTGCGAAAGTAATTGCACTTAAAAAGAAATCGATTCGCCGAAAAGCTCCGAGAGAAGGGTTTCATTATCCTGATAAATACATGGTCTTTGCAAAGTCAGGGAAGTTGTTATGAGTTTGCAGCAGTACAATGGATTTGCATTTTTCTAGTAGAATGCAAAATATCAAACCCTATTAGTCTATTGGTCTGAGGAATTGCTCAAACTTCAAACTGACATAAAAATGAAGTAGTTGCAAATTTTCTCGAAAAGAATGGGCTTTCATATTTGCTGAGTCTTTTGGCTAATCGTGTTTCTCTGTCAATATTTTAATTCCAGTATTATGAATATTATAATGATAATATTTAAAAACGAAGCCACCCAAGCTCCAGACTGACCCAAAGGAGGACTTGCTCTGTATCGTACAGAGAAGGGCTTTATATCCTGATGAATTCCATTATTATTACAATTATTATTTAATTATATTAAGTTGGCAACTAAGTAACAGCGTATAATTCCAAGTACTCTAAATATTTGTCCTAAAGGATACTTAGCTACCTGATTTCCAAAGTAATCTATGCTCATAGATGAGGTACCTGAGTGTTTCGTGGTCAAAATACCTGCTAAGTGGCTCTTCCTAATGATATTCAGGAGACGTATTGTTATTGCAATGCTGTGCCGAAAACCGGTAGTCAGCTTGAAACAGCTTTGGTATGAGGATAGGTCGCGCCATTTAGTTGACATACTTCCAAAAATGTCAGGATATTTGAATACGCGAAAAGAGATGATTTGTTGGTCCTTTTATTTCCTCCATTTTCCTGCTTCATAGTTCGAAATGGAATTCAGCAATTTTCTGGCTTATTTGAGCTTTTTGCAGCTGTCTTTGAATGGCCCCGTTATTCGATCTAAAATATTGTGTGCACATATTGGTAAGAGTGCGAGTTGATATATAGATATTGATTCTTGATGCCGTTCTTTTACCCTCTTCAAGTGGGCCAATATCTCGTTGCAATGAGAAGAATATATAGACGTGCGATACACTAATATTTGCTCTAAGAGTCGGCAATATGTGACGGAGAAGATATTTTCTTGAAGGGATCCGAACAGCAATTGTTTAGTTTTCTTTTCTCT